GTTAAGCGTGTGGCAGCATTAATTTATCACAAGGATTGCTCTCCTGCCATTTTTATCTAAGACCTCATTCCTTAGGGGTTTTCGTATCACAGCCTATTGACATTACTCATTGTGTTGAATTTGTTCTTATATCACGTGGATGTTAGGCAGTTTACTCAACTGTCACCCGTGGTTTGTCTTTCCACTCAAACAGTGCTTCAGAGAGCATCCTTTTCTCTGCCTCCCTGAATGTACGGCCAAGGAGTGTTTTGGGGATAAATATGAAAGAGCGGCATTGGCCACTTGCAGGGTGTATGAATTTTTGCAGGAAGACACTGCCAAGTGAGCCTGTGAGGTGGCCACCTTAACCGCCACCTCTCCTCCCCCCCCCCCCCCCCCCCCCCCCCCCCCCCCCCCCCCCCCCCCGCAGCCATGTCTGAGGGAGTTCACTTGCCTGCAGCTTCCCCAACACTTGATGTGGTCAGATTCTGTAATTTTGCTAGGCTGATGGGAAAGAGTGAAGCTCTTGTCTTCTCCCAGCTGCCCTTGGTTGGGTGGGGAGTCTGGGAGGGCGGTCTGGTGCTCTTTATAGAAACTTCTGGCCAGATTGCTCACAGTCCTACTTTCTACTAGTCTCAGGGCACCTGGTACTCAAGTTCCTGAGCTCCGCGGGCCTCCTGCCCTTCCCTCCTCCTCCACCCCTCCCCCAAGCCCTGATCTCAACTTCCTCCCGTCTGCTGTTAATTGCCATTTTGGGGCTTTTAACTTTTTGTGGACATTAATCATCCTCTGGTGCCTCTTCCCTCTTTTTAAAAAATGTTTATATATTTATTTTTGAGAGAGAGCAAACACGTGTGCACAAGCACGAGTGAGGAAGGGGCAAAGAGAGAGGGAGAGAGAATCCCAAGAAGGCTTCATGCCAAGCGTACAGCCTCCCACACGGGGCCTGATCCCACTAACTGATGACCTGAGCCTAAATCAAGAGCCGATGCTTAACTGACTGAGCCACCCCGGTGTCCCGCCTCTTCTTTTATTCTCTCCAAATATTCCTTAACTGTCAGCTTAACAGGGTTTTTAGGAAGGAGCAAAAATTAATGTGGGTGTCCAGTCTGACACATTCTATCAAAACTAATACATATCTATAATTCCCTGCCAGCTTGTTAGCCTCTTAGAGGCAGCAAAAGCTTGTGTTTACTTCTGTATCCCAGCACCTAGTCCTATGCCTGGTGGACGGGGGACAGGGACAGACACAGGTGGAGGCTCAGGCGAGAAACTACCTTTAGCATCTTGCAGTGATTGGTCCCTGGGGAAAGGGATGGTGTCCAGGGAAGGGTTACCAGTTTACACAACAAACAGGTTCATGAAATCTTTCACACTTTTATCTCTCTCTCCTCCAGCTTATGAATTCTGCTCTGTTTGTAAACACGAGTCCACCTCCTCTGCTAGGCTGAACTTGGAGCTTTGCTTGAGTGACCCATTGACTGAACAAATAAATAATTGTGTCTCGGAGCAGGGAGGGCCAAGTTAGGACCTTAATAGGTGACCCTATGCCTTTCCCAACTGGATGACTCTTCTCAGGTTCAGTTCCCTGACCCCCATCCTTTGAGAGGACGGACAGCATTACTGGGGGGTGCTGTGGCTTTTGGGAATTAAAGATCTGGGCTTGAGTCCTGGGTCCACTACTTTTTTTAATGTTTATTTATTTTTGAGAGACAGAGAGAGAGAGACAGAGCGTGAGGGGAGAGGGGCAGAGAGAGAGGGAGACACAGAATCCGAAGCAGGCTCCAGGTGCTGAGCTGTCAGCGGATGCGGGACTCAAACCCACGAACTGTGACATCATGACCTGAGCTGAAGTCACGGACGCTTAACCGACTTAGCCACCCAGGCACCCCCCCGGGTCCACTACTTATATGTAGGACCTTGGTCAAGTTTTTAACCTCTTTGAGCCTCAGCTGATCCTCAGACCGGATCAGCTTTTCTTGTGACATATGGATTATTAATTCATAGGTGCCACCTGAGAAAAGATCCCATGGTCCAGTATATTTGGTAAGTGCTGGTTGGACAAAGTTAAATAATTATGCTTATAATGATAATATAACAAACACATATAATAAGTATTTATTATATAATGATTGTTAAATATTGTGACATTACTATTCTGCAATTAAATTATATAATAACATTTTTTGAGTGCTTACTATTCATCAGGTACCCTTACAAGCACCATCTCATTTAACCCTCAAAACAACCCCATAAACGACATTTGTTACCATTATTATCTGTATTTGATAAACGACAGACTAAGGTCATCAGAGCCTTTGGTACCACGCATTGTCACTCTCTAAGAGGGAGTGGGAACAAGCAGTATTTCTGAGCTTGTTTGCCCGTGGATCCCCTTTCCAGAAGGGCTCTCATGGTGCTGGGGTTCTGCAGACATGGGCTGAGGGAGGCAGGGCAGGATCCGCTTTGGGCATGTCCCCCCCCCCCGGAGACGAGGGACCCCCAGCCCGGGGACCAGAGCTTGGGAAGGGAGCTCCTCCATCAGGTTTTGCAGCCAGGGGCAGATCAGAGGCTCTGGGCTATGGGCAGTCCATTACTGAATGGGAATGGCAGCTTGACCCCTCCGTTCCGTCACTGGGGAGAGCAGCCCGTACAGGTGTTCCCTGAGCTTCTGATGTACCAGAGAGCTGGTCCAAAGCCATGCAGCTCAGGGTGGAAGATGCTGGGCACTGTTCTGGCCAGAGAGCAGGAGAGGCAGATTCTTCCTGACTCCACTTGCATTTCAGTCTGGGGTTTACTGCCCTTGGAGTCGGTATACGGTTTTGGAAACGGGACCCAAAGGAGTTGTTCTGGAGCTGCGGCTTCGTTGGAAGTGAAAGCAGAGCCTCTGTCCCAGGCTAGAGCCCCGACCGCCGGGCTGTGAGAGGCTGGAAGCAGACTCTGACACAGCTGGCTGTGGACCTGGTTAAGTCAACTGCCCCCTTGGAGCCTCTGTTTTCTCCTGTGTAAAATGGGCTGGGCTGCTGTGAGGACCCGAGCAGACCTGAAAAGACGGGAGGCTATACGCCCCTCAGTCAGCGGTTATGATTATGGCCCTGGGGGCATGCACGGTGGACTCTAAGCTCCTCTGAAGTTTAAGGAGCTCACAAGCCCTTAATATTTGGGATGGGGGGGTGGTGTTGGTCCTATTCTTTTGTTTCCTAACACAAAGCCTCTTCCCAAAGCCTCCTATCAAGCCTGAAAAACAGATTCCAGCTGGTCCTGGGTGCTCCTGGCAACTATCTAGCCCATATGAGCAGGCCTCCTTCTCTGGGTCAAATAAAGAGTGACTCACCTTGGCCCAGCCCCGGCAGCTACAACCTTTGTGAAGGCCTAGCCACACCCTGCTTTCATGGTCACACCTGCCTTCTTTCCACCTTTGGGCAACCCGGACCCACTTGCAGGTCTGATTCACTAGTTTAAACAGCCTCAGGCTGGGCCTTCCTGAGTGGCTCAGGGCTGCTGCTGGTGGGTTAGGGGTGTGTGTGTGGTTTCCTGGCCCCTGCTCCTGGCTAAGCTGGTGGCTGGAAGGCAGTTTACTGGGGACTAGTTTCAGGGGCCACAGGTGACCCAGGTGATAATATGGACTGAGATTTCACAGGGGGAAACTGAGGCACGTTGATGGGAAGTGACTGGCCCATCTCCCTAACAGCATCTCAGAAGGGCATAGGGCCTCCGTTGTGTGACTGAGTGACCGCTCTGACCTAAGGGACCATGGAGACAGTTCAGAGGAGGGGTGAGGTCCTTGCGCACCAGGAACTAGGATGAGACACAGGCAGTGTCTGGCAGGGGGCCCAGCCCTCCCAAGCGATCAAATAAAGGTGGGTGGAATTGTTGAGCGGGGTGAAGAGTGGGGCTGGGGGCTGTGCGTGGAGAGGAGGGCTCCTTCCCTTAGGATCCAAGCACTTCACTCTGTGCATGGGCATCCTGCAGACAGCCTCACAGTTCAGCCGTTTGTCTCTGTCTGAAGCTCCAGGATTCAGCCCGACACCCCCCTTCCAGATACTCACAAGAAGGGAGGGATTCTACCCCATTTCTGTCTCTGGGTGGCAGGTGCTACATGTCTCATGGGCAAGTTATTTGCCTCCTTCAGGCTCAGATTCCCCATCATGGATTTCAGTAAATCTGGGTTGAATGCATGCATGATTTGGGAGCTGGAGGGGGAGGGCTGTTTTGGAGGGGGTGGGTGGTAAGGGGCCCTCAGGGGCTCTGCCCCAGGTGGGGTCACGCTTGAGCCTGGGTTGCTGAGAAGTCCCTTATCATCCAGCTGCAGAAGCCTCCCAGCAGCTAGCAGCTGTTCTCAGGAGTGCCCCCCCCAGCCCCAGCTCCAACCCTCCTCCTTTCAGCCGCCCCCCCCCCCTCCCGGCCCTGGGATTTGTATGGCTCCAGCAGGGCGGGGCAGCTTTGTCTCAGGAGGCCAGCAGCCAGAGGCCCCTCCTCTCTGGGACTGAAAGGGAGTCAGGGTGTGGGTGATCACCAAGGGGCTGTAATTCCGAGTGGGGTGCAGGAATCGCCTGAATGTACTGGAGGGAAGGGTTAACTTTGATCCCAAGGAAGGGGCTTCAGAACACAATTCCAGAAAGGGCCTTTGAGGGATGGGGGGGAGGGGGAGGACAGGGTATAGGAGTCTACCGTCAGAAGGACTTAATTCCGGGGGAGGGGTGTCGAACCTGGGGAGATCTTAATGGGGGAGGCTCAGAATGTGACTGGGGGTGTCTATGCGTGTGATGGGAGCGAAGAAGGGAAAGAGTGTGATGGAGGTGCCCCGTCGGGGCTCTGGAGTGGCCAGGGGTGGGGCAGTTCTCTGCGGCTTGGGTGGAGAGGGCGGGGGAACGTGGCCTCAGGCCCCTGGGAGGGAAGAGCTGGAGGCAGAGCCGCCAAGAACTGACCAATGGGGAGAGTGCCCGTATTTGCACTCAGGAGCTGGCAAATTCCTCAGGGCTCAGATATCCGTCCCGACGTCCACCCCCCACCCCCTCTCCCTGCCCCCGCCCGCCCGGGGCATAAAAGGCGCCAGGTGAGGACCTCGCCACTCCTACCGCCAAGCTATGCACCTCCGACCAATGGGTGACCGCACGACTTCCTTTAGTTACCGGCAAATGGCCGGCGGCCAGTCCTTGGGGGGTCTGCGCTACGCGGGAGGAAATGTCTTCCGCGCGCCGAGCATCCACGGGGGTTCCGGCGGCCGCGGCGTGTCCATGTCCTCCGCCCGCTTAATGTCCTCGTCCTTCGGGGGCTACGGCGGGGACTACAGCGGCAGCTTTGCGGGCGGCCTGGACGGGTCCGACGGCCTCTTCTCCGGCAATGAGAAGCTCACCATGCAGAACCTCAACGACCGGCTGGCCTCCTACCTGGACAAGGTGCGCGCCCTGGAGGAGGCCAACGGCGACCTGGAGGCGAAGATCCGCGACTGGTACGCGAAGCAGGGGTCCGGGCCCGCCCGCGACTACAGCCACTACTTCAAGATCATCGAGGACCTGCGGGATAAGGTGGGCGGCGGCCCAGCTTCGGGAGGTGCACCTGTCGCGCAAACCCAGCCCCGCGGGCTGGGCGAGGCCCGAGGCGGGCGCGCCGGGCGCGGCGGGCACCCAAGCCACCACCCGGCGGGGCAGGAGGGAGCGAGCCCGTTAGGACGTGGGAGGGCTGCAGGGTGGGCAGAGAGCTGGGGGCAGGTGAGCCGGGGCAGGAGAGTGGGACAGGAAATGGAGGCTGGGGCTGCGGGAAGGGGGTGGTGTGTGCAGCGGCGGCGGGGGCGGGGCTGGAGGGTGGGGAGATCTGGGAAGGGGGTCCGAAGGAGTAAGAGGAGACGGGACAAGGCCGTGGGCCGTCCGGAGGTGTGGGCCAGGGGCCGTAGTCACAGACAAGAGAGAGAGACAAGAGTTTGGCCTGGGAGGAACTCACCCGCTGCCAGCCCCACCCCACCCCCACCCCCCGCCGGGGGCCCCGCTGCATTCCATTCCTCTGGTGGGGCAGGTCTGCTTTCCATCAGCTCAGGCTGAAGCCCCTCCTGCCCCGCCAAACAGGGCCACCCCGGATTTAGGCGGAGCTTCTGGGAAGAATGGGAGCGGGCAAATGCTGTGGCCTAAGGACCCGGTGAAGGCGGGACACGCAGAGGCCCAGGGGGTCCTTTTCAGCAATAGTTCTGTGTGGGTGGAGCGTTCCTGGGTTAGGGGTGCTTCGCAGGTAGCCACCGGTCTTACAGGGAGCCCCGAGGCCGTGAGAAACTGAGAGCTCTGCCTTGAAGAAATGTATCAGAAGCCGGTGGGACATTTAATGGTCCTCCATGCTGGGTTTCCAAAGCGGGCCAGCGCCTGCCCTGTGCCCAGCATGGTGCTGGGTGCTAGGGGCATAGAACAGATAGACCAGCCTTATAGAGGAGGAGGGACAGCTAGAGATGGAAACAGCAAAGTAGAATACTGCTTACACGCTTTAAAAATCGTAACCTGCTGTAAGAAATACATTTCGCGGTGTACCCTCACGCATTGTCTCTCTGTTATACACACACCCAAAATGGAAGCAAAGCTTTCTTGAAACAATTCTTACCCTACTGTGTGTGGTCCATCTCTTCTCATATTTTACATTCTGCTCATCTTCATTAAAAAACTATGCAAATCACCACCCATTGTACTGGGTGACTAATGAGCCATGACCTGCTCTTGAAAAAACATGAACCCAAGTACCTTAATCAATGGTGGGAATATGCCCATCACACCATAGGGACCTCAGATGGGGGCAGATTTGGACAAGGACTCCTGAAGTTCATTTCCCACCTCTGTAAGACAGGCATACCCACTGACCTGGCAGGAAAGGAAGTATAAAGTGTTTGGCACATAATAGACACTCACCAAATGGGAACTCCCTTTCCTGAAGCAGATTGTGCTTTGAACAGGGGTGTGTGTTCAGACAAAGGTATCCCAACACTGCATCTGGTTTGCGGACCACTGGAGTCTGCCTCTGGACCATTTAGAGTGCAGGTGGCAGACACATTCCTCCCAGACTTACCTCTGCCCTCCCACACCCTCCCCTACCCCCTGGCTCCACAGTCCCTGACCGTGGTTACTTCTGCTCCAGCTCCCGGGCGTGGACTGATTCCAAGACCTCCCAGAGAGCAAGCCAGTGGGCAGCTGAGTCTTTAGGGGGTAGAGGCATACCCATTTGGTTTCCTCTCTCTTCTGGGAAGAAAGTGGGTGGACAGAGCCAGTGTACTGAGCTGGTGTCAACCTCCTGCCTCTGTCTTTCAGATTCTTGGTGCCACCATTGAGAACTCCCAGGTTGTCCTGCAGATTGACAATGCCCGTCTGGCTGCGGATGACTTCCGAACCAAGTGAGTATGGGTTTGCCCTGGAGGGCTGCAGGAGCCGGGGCAGGGGAGGAAGGGCGATGCCAGGCTCTTTGGGGGCTCAGTGCAGTGGGGGACTGGACTCTGTCCTCACCCACCCCAGCTGGCCTGAAGTAAGCCCTACCCCCTCCATGGACTCCTGAACCAGGGTTGAGGGGGAGAAACGGGGGGAACTCTGCAGAGGTTCAGAGCAAATGCTGGCCTCACGGCACCTATTTCCTCTGAAAGGTTTGAGACCGAGCTGGCCCTGCGCAGGAGCGTGGAGGCCGACATCAACGGCCTGCGCAGGGTGCTGGATGAGCTGACCCTGGCCAAGGCTGACCTGGAGATGCAGATCGAAGGGCTGAAGGAGGAGCTGGCCTACCTAAAGAAGAACCACGAGGAGGTGGGTTTTAGGCTGAGCCTTCTGTCCATCTCACTCCACCTTTCCAGGGCTGAGGACAGTTTTTGATCCTATATCCTCTTGACGAGGGCAATGATTGCTGTACCCTTGGCATGGCCCTGGGTGTGGAGCAGGACTCTTGGGGTTCCAGCAGCAGATGGCGGCTACCTCATCGGTCCTGCGATGCTGCCTCCTAGGTCTGCACCTGAAAACTGGGCCCTTTCCGCCTGGGGGATGGGGGAGTGACTTGACCTAGGTCCAGCAGGCTCTAGGTTCCGACATGCCTATCTCTGCTGTGTCTTTCCAGGAAATCAGTGCCCTGAAGAGCCAGGTGGGTGGCCAGGTCAGCGTGGAGGTGGATTCTGCTCCGGGCATCGACCTCGGCAAGATCCTGAGTGACATGAGAAGCCAATATGAGGTCATGGCTGAGAAAAACCGAAAGGATGCTGAAGACTGGTTCACCAGCCGGGTATGGCACGGGGCTGGGGTGTGGTGGGGGGCATGGGTGCCCTCTGGGGAGGTGGCAGGGAGAGAGGGCTTCGTGCTCTCAGACAGAGGTCTGCTTCAGTGCTTATTCCTTCTGCCTCCTCTCTTACTGTAGACGGAAGAGCTAAATCAGGAGGTGGCCAGCCACACGGAGCAGCTGCAGACTAGCAAGGTGGAGGTCACCGAAGTGCGGCGCACCCTCCAGGGTCTGGAGATTGAGCTGCAGTCTCAGCTAAGCATGGTGTGTGCCCCCTGCCCCGTAGGATGCACCCTGGGGCCCTCGCAGCCTTGTGTGGCCCTGGGCCATGGTTGTGCCCGTGCCCTCTCTGGGAACCGGTCTCCACTGAGTCTCATTCCCTCTCCCTGCTCTCAGAAAGCCGCCCTGGAAGGCACGCTGGCGGACACAGAGGCCCGTTTTGGAGCCCAGCTGGCCCAGATCCAGGCTCTGATCAGCAGCTTGGAAGCCCAGCTGAGCAAGGTGCGTGCAGACACTGAACGGCAGAACCAGGAGTACCAGCAGCTCATGGACATCAAGTCACGGCTGGAGCAGGAGATCGCCACCTACCGCAGCCTGCTGGAGGGCCAGGATGCCCACTACAACAACCTGCCCACCTACAAGGCTCTCTGAGTCCTGGCAGCCTCCTGGGCTTCCTGCTCTCCCGCGAAGAGGTTCCCCTGGCGGGGAGGGGCGTGGGAAGGGAGCGACCGTATCCCTGGCGCTTTCCCTGACCTGTCAATAAAGCTTTATGGCCCAAGGGAGGAAGGACGTTGGGTTTGTTGTTTCAGCCCATAGAGATGGGCCAGACTGGGGCCTGTTAAGGTTTTATTTGGATCAGAGTGCACTCTGTCCTAAGAGAGGGAAGGGAGGGTACTCACTAACTCCTATGGTGATGGCAATTCCTGTTCACAGAACTCTTCATTTACCTAATCTGTTCCTGAAAACAAGCCTGTGAGGGGGCGCCTGGGTGGCTCAGTTGGTTGAGCGTCTGAGTTCGGCTCTGGTCATGATCTCCCGGTTCGTGGGTTTGAGCCCCACATTGAGCTCTGAGCTGTCAGCACAGAGCCTGGAGCCTGCTGCAGGTTCTGTGTCTTCCTTTCTGCCCCTCTCTTGCTCGTACTTTGTCTCTATCTCTCTCTCTTAAAAAAAAAAAAAATTAAAAACAAACTTGTGAAACAAGCATTGCTCCCATTTTACAGAGGAGTAAACTAAGGGTCAGAGAGTGAAGTGATTTGTTGTGTGTGTAACTGTTCTAACATGGCAAAGGTGGGGTTTGAAACTTTTTTTTCAGATTTTAGGGTTTAAAAAAATTAAAAAAAATTTTTTTTAACTTATTTCTGAGAGAGACAGTGTGAGCAGGGGAGGGTCAGAGAGAGAGGGAGACACAGAATTGGAAACAGGCTCCAGGCTCTGAGCTGGCTGTCAGCACATAGCCCGACATGGGGCTCGAATCCACAAACCGTGAGATCATGACCTGAGCTGAAGTCGGATGCTTAACCGCCTGAGCCACCCAGGCTCCCCCAGATTTAGGTATTTTAAAGTTTTTTAAAATGTTTGTTTATTTTTGAGAGAGACAGAGACAGAGTGCGAGCAAGGGAGGGGCAGAGATAGAGAGGGAGACACAGAAACTGAAGCAGGCTCCAGGCTGTCAGCACAGAACCCAATGCGGGGCTCGAACCTGTGAACCATGAGATCATGGCCTGAGTTGAAGTCGGACACTTTTTAACCTACTGAGCCACCCAGGCACTCCCAGATTTAGTTTTCTTTCTACTTCATTCCCTCAAGGATGGGTGTGTGTATTTGTGTGTCGGAAATTAATGTTTACTTGAGCACCTCGTATGTGCCATTTAATCAAACAACCCTAAAAGGTAGTTAAGTAGGAGGGAGTACTCATCATATAGAACAGGAAACAGGTTCAGAGAAGTTAAGTAACTTGTCCAAGGTCACAGTGACTAGGGTTCATGATTACTAGCTCGCCGTGCCACCTCGTACCCCAGTCTCCTAGGATTTGACACTCCCTTGTGCCGGGTCCTAAGTACTTTTCTGTCTTGCTCCATGTGAAGTCCTAGGACTGGGATCCCTTGGGGGCAGTTCCTTTTGATACATGTCCCCACTAAACTGAGGAACAGGGGGCAGGCATCCCATTGAGAAGGCTGAAGAGCGTACCTGTTGGTGTGCGTCTGTGTGCCTACGTGTGCTAACACATTCATCCATATCTGGGCAGCCCCACGTAAGTCCCTTACGCCCACCAGCTCATACCTGGGCCCAGAGCCTGGAATGGGATCCGGCCGTGACCTGGACCTCCCGTACAGACCCCCAACCTGGCCCAAGCTGGCTTGCCTGAGGCTGGTCCCAGGCCAGCAAAGGAACCTTAAGTCCCAGCTTCCTGGTATAGCTCTGCCCTTGTGTGGGTGTGGTCTTGCCCCTGTGGTTTACAGCTCAGCTGCCAAGAATTGAGGCCAATTAAAGGTAAATAACTACTTCCCCTTTGCTGAGAGGTTCAGCCTGAGTGGGTCTGTTAGGTCCCAGAGATCTTCCTGATAGCAGGTCTGCTCTGCCAAGGAGTGGGGCAAGGGAGGAACACTCTTCCCCCTGCCCCCAGAAGGCCTCCTGTAGGGGAATGAGGTGGACACAGGCTGCTGTGGGTGCCCCACACTGTGCTAAGGAGACTGGGATCCAGACATGCCCTGTGCTGATGATCCTGAAGGAGGTGCTCTCCCTAGTTTTCTGTGGGTCTCAGAGGGGTTTGTTAGCTTGCTCTAAGCCATGGAACTGGGGACCCCAGAGCCCAGATCTTCCTTCTCTCCCTGGGCCTGGAGCCCCCTTCTCCCACCTCCCTAGCTGTTCTGCCCTGGCCTCTAGCATCTATCACCACTGCCCCTCCTCCCCCTCCTCACTTAACTTTAGGGCCCTGGCCTCACCCGGAGGCTGGGTCTGTCCAGAGATTTGTGTCCCCTGTTCCTGAAAGCCTCTGTTGTCACAGCTGAAACCCTCCCCTATGCCCCAGAGGCCCCTGGAATGTGGCTTTGGGGCGGGGTCTGGGCCGACACAGGTGGGTCAGGTGACTGGGTTGCAGGTCTGGGTATCAGGAATGAAGCCTTCCTTTGTGTGTGTGTTGGGGGGGCGGGAGGGCAGGGGTACTTTTCTGTCTCAGTCTGGGAGCTGAAACTAGGGGTACTGTGTTGACAGAGAGGCTGGGCTAGGGGAGAGGGAGAGGGCGGGAGGGAGAGAGAAGGGGAGAGGATTTAGGGGGTGGGTCTTTCCATCCTTGCTGGGCATTATGACCACTTAGGTTTGCAAAGCATTTCCTGTCAGTCATGTGGCTCCATCCCTGTGAGTCAGATTGGGCAGGAGTTATTGCCATTTTCCAGTTTGGTAGACTGAGGCTCAGAGAGGAGGCTAGATTACCTAAAGTCCTATACTGAAGACAGCGGAGTACCTAAGAGAGGAGGAATTATCCAGGCCCTAGGATATGTGCTCTCTGTCCTGACATCTCCCTGGGGGGCTGGGGGAGGTGAGGGTGGATTTATGGAGGCCACACCCCTGCATGTCATTGAATGTTACCGGTGGCCCTGCAGCAGGACGCAGTGTTAATGGCTCCGTGTTTTCTTTTTGTTTATGCTGGTAAAATACACATATAATTAATTTACCAACTTAACCGTTTGTGAGTATACGGTTCTGTGGCACTGAGTACATTCACACTGTTGTGCCACCATCACCAGTGCGTATGTTCCTGTGTCCACCTTGTAACACTGCAACTCTAAGTCTGTTACATAGTAACTCCTTATGTGATAAGTGCAAGGACTCTGACTACTCTAAGTACATCATGTAAGTGGAAAAATGGCCCAATTTTAAGTGGGGAACCTGGCTCAGAGAGGTTGAGTCGCACCCAGAGGCGGAGTCCAGCCCAAGGCTCTTTCCACTGGGCTGCTAAGGAGAGAAGGCCCCGGGGGCAGCCTGTTTGCAATGGGCAAAGGACAGAAACTGGCGCAGCAGCATGGGCGGGCTGCCTGGGGCTGGGCCCTGGGCTGCAGCCTGGGCTGGAGCCAGCTAGAGCTGGGTTCCCACCCTTGCCCTGCCTCCCTGCCCGGCCTGGTGCTAATGAGCAGGAAGCAAGGGGTCTAGACCTTGAGCTGTTTGCACTGAAACCAGTCATTTGTGCCTGGGACAGCTCCTGCCCCTGCATGGGCCCGATGGAGTGCAAAAGCCCCCTTTTGAGGGGTGCTGGAGAGGAGTCAGGGTGCAGAAGAGGGGCTGGCCGGGGCTCAGCCCTCCCTTAGCCCCCCCCTCAGCCTTCCCTCAGCCTGGAGTGATGGCGTGTAATTGTTCCCGTGTTAATTGCCGGGGCCATGATGTCTGCAGAGGCTTTAATGAGCTGTGGCTGATCTGAGTTTGATTATTTTTCTTTCGGAGGAAAAGACAATGTCTCCCGCCCAGGAGACAATACTGCACTGTCTGGGCCCAGGGCTCAGAGGCCCAGCTCATCCACCTCCTCCCACCCAGGCCTGCCTCTCTTACCATCCCAGCTCAGATGGCAGTCCCAGGTACTGAGCCGCACTGTCTGCTTCCTCAGAAGATGGGAAACAAGGAGGAGGCAGGACGGCGGCTCTCGGGGCTCAGCTGGAAGCTGACAGTGCCCTTTGTCCCAGAAACCCATCCAAGGTTTCACAGGCAGTAAGTGATGCAGCCAGGATTTGAACCCAGGCCTTAGGAACTCTGGAGCTCTATCCACCTCAGTGTGCTTCAGCCCTGGACCAGGTATCGTCCTGACTCCCCAGATCAGCCTTGCTTACCTCCCCGAACCCAAGAGCCCTGGAACTGGGGCTAGAGGGCCAGGCTGTGCCTCCAAATGGCACTACCCACATGTATCAGGTACCCCTGAAAGCAGGCCCCTGGGTTGGTGGCAGAGAAGAGGGCTCTCCTTAGTGTTCGGCTCCCGTCTCTGGCGTCAGCATCTTGCTCTGTAAAGAGGTGTCTTCCAGTCTGCCAGCCAGGCCTCCCTATCTCCTCCCTCCCGACACTGAGGCACGCAGAACCCTCCGGGATGGTCCCTCCCTGGCCCCACAGCGCTTGACAGGACAAACGGAGTTAATCTGGCCTTGTTATGTAGGGACATGCCTCTCTCGGGAGAAGGCAGGGGCTTCCCGGACTGGGCTCCAGTCTTATCTGCAGAGGTTTGCCCCAACGTGTCCCAGGAGCAAGCAAAGCTTCAATGACATGTACATTTGGCAGGTGGTGGGGTTATCAATCAGCCCCCTTTTAGCCCTGAGCCTCCTGGCCTTTGGGAGAGTGCCAGGGCGGTGGGGCAGGGGGCTCGTGGGGGTCGGGGGGGGGGGAGGAGAGGAGGGGATGGAGGAGGAGAGTCCTGCTGTATCAGGGAAATGATGGAAGTTAGCTTCTCTGATCACCTTAGCTAGAAATGGACTCATGACCCCTTCTCCTGTCCTCAGCCCGTGCGCACGGGCCCTGTATTCCTCCCTGCGCCTCTGCCCTCCCATCCCCAGAGGCCACTGCTCCCCTGCAAGCCCTGCAGGCTCACATATGGGGTCTGTGAGTGGGACAACACAGGGCAGCGATAGGGACTGGGCTCCCACCCTGAGAGCACGGAGCTGGCCGCCTTGGGGTGAGGGTTCTGGGCCTGAGGCAGCAGAGAACTCGGGGGAGGGCAGAGCTGGCCTGGGCTGTTCTACCTGAGCAGGCGGAGGCCTGGTAGCTGTGGAGTGACAGGAATTTTCTCCCCAGCGTCTCTTAGTGTTTTCCC